CACGCAAACGTTGCGAGAAAGTGCCTCTAAAGGATTGCAACATCAACTTCGATCCATGTGCGTCTTCATCAACATCCTTCAACGACATCTCAACATCGCACGTCCTTTCCTCTCCTTCGCACTAACCTCCTCAATAGCCCATTCAACCTCCTCAAGCAACAAGCCCATGGCCCATGGCTCGGATCCGACACCAGCAATCAACAGCTTTTGACAAACTGCCTGATGTGGTGACTGCGCCGCCCAACGGACAAATCCTTCGGATCCGACACCAGCAATCGACGGCTCTCGATAGACTGCCTCATGTGGTGACTGCGCCACCCAACGGACATAGCCTTCGGATCCGAAGTCAGTAATCGACGACTCTCGAAATATTGCCTCATGTGGTGACCGCGCCACCTAACGGAGATATCCTTCGGATCCGAAGTCAGTAATCGACGACTCTCGACAGATTGCCTTCTGTAGTGACTACGCCGCCTAACGGAGATATCCTTCGGATCCGAAAACTGGGTTCGGACAAACTTCGCTATGCCATCACCTAGAACGTGACTGCCCTTGATGTCTGCTCAGGGCGATTTTGCACGGCTCCTGAGATACTGGAGGAAGAGGTGATTATGCCATTTGGCATGGATTGGGAGGATCGCATGTCGTGTTGTATTAGCAGGGTAAGTATGGTTATGATGTCGCCTTGTGAAAGCTAGACGATTTTGGGATTGAGATCTGGAAAGTCCTTTTGTATAGATATCAAGGATTATTGAACATGACCATAAAGTACGGAGACAGCGGAGAGCCTGTTATCCAGTAGCTCTATTTCGATGCGTGTGAACGCTATGCTACTACTTCTGCGTCTATTCCAGCCCGTTCTGACCTTACTATTCGAGTTGTGGAAGCTATACAAAGCTTTAGCAATCGTATAGTTATAGAACTCATGGTACGATGAGTGAGTTTGTCGCTGATTTACTCGTTATGTACTGCGCAGGCAACAATGAGGGCGACGGTGACGGGATGAAACTGCTGGTAAGACCACATTGATTGACCCTCATCCTTTTATCCTACAAGTGCAAGTATAAAAGGTTGGAGCAACAGACGGGGCTGGTACGCTCGAAGCTCTGATGTGTTAGGGAATGGCGGGTCTCGCAAGCCTTTCACTTTGGCTCTGACTGCCAAGCATAGAGCTTGATTGTCCGTAGATGAGTTTTATTTTATTTTTTCTTTTCCTCACGATACGAGCAATGTTGAGGTTTCGAAGAACGAGGCTGGTGTTGTGCGCATTGTGCGGAAGTAACAGGGGGTTGGTGCACACTACCCTTTGCGCATCGCGCGTACGAGGTCAATAAATTCTTCTTTGAACACTCCAAGCTCTAAAGAGAGTAACAGCACGCGATGTCATGTGCGACCCGCATTAGCACAATGCGGGGTGCTGGCATGTTCCTGGCTGTTGATAGGTAGGCATCGGCGACCAGGCTGCGACGGGGCGGCTCGAGCAGTGCTCGGCCAAGGAAGGAAATCAAGAGGTTGGGATCTAGGCGATGAGTTGGCATTCGCGGTGTGGTTTGAAGTTGAAACTAATTTGAGTAGTTTTGTGAGATTTCGCGACTACGATGCCGGGTTTGATGGGGGAGTGCCTGTCAGGGTGCTGGAAAAGCACTCTATGAGTGCGCAGAGACCGGCACAGCGGTGAGGCTGGAGTATCACAAGTTCTTGCAAAAGAAAAAAGCACCATAGTTGCCCTGCGTCGAGACATGGTTTCGTGATTGGAGCGCATTCCGTCCTCGTCTGGATGCGGATGTGGGCAATCTGAAGGAGATGACCAGCGCAGGATCGCGCAAAACCCCAAATCTCCAGTGACTGGCTGAGAAGCCATCGAAGACAGAAAGATAGCCCGTCCCAAAGAACTGACAGAACTACTGTTCACCAATCTATTGTCTACCTTGGCCAGAACACGCCTGGCAGCCCGCATCTCCACAAGTCAAACGTCACACTTACCTAATCCCCGTACCCCTACGCATGCCCATCCTTCTAAAACACGCACACCCAGCCCCCCCTTTCCCAACACAAGCGTATATCGCACACATGCATCATCCAAAAGCGAAATGACATGCAACGCCAATGCCGTCCAAAACCTGCATTGGCAGTGGATGGATGAAAATGCGCATTAAGTTGTTCTCGATCTCGTCGATGCCTGGCTAGCGGCTAAAACTAAGCGGGGATGCCAAATGTGCGACGGGCGGGAGAAAACAAGAACAGGGGTACGGGTCAAGGAAGCGTGCCGCCTGGCGCAGCAGACGTGCATCATACCCGTCTCTTTTTGGACGACTTGTCGAGACGGAAAAAGAAGCTACGTCATACGGGGCTGGGACAAGGCCACCTCGCGCAGGTTTGGGAATGGGTCTTAAAGTTGGCACTGCCACATCTTCTTTGTCCTGCATTACTTCTAACCTTTTGCCATCTACGCTGCATCTAATACCATCTACCACTTTACTAATTCCTACGGTATTTCGACGTTGAGACGTTGAAACTTTATTCGCTTGAGGCTCATCGCGCAATCGTCACCCGACGGGAACACGGATAATCGATCGTCAACGGTCGCTGATCATCTCATCACATCACCGAGATAGAACCGCAGAAGTCATGTCTGGCGTACAGGAAAAACAGCTCCATGAGTACGTTATCCCTGCGTCCAATGCGCCGCGACGCGCATCGTCGCGTTCGCGATGAGATGGGATTGCGCAATCTGCATTACCAACCCTTGCACAACGAACTAACACACCAACCACAGGCTCCTCTCCCGCTCCATGGTCGACATCTACGTCGGCCCCGAGAACACGCACTGGATCCTGCACGAGAAGCTACTCTGCTACCACTCGCCCTTCTTCCGCAAGATCTTCTACTCCAAAGCCAACTCGGCGTCGCGCACGCAATCCTTCGGACTCCCGGACGAAGAAGATGCGCCCTTCAAGACCTTTGTCGGCTGGCTCTACAGCTCCTCCCTGCCGGTCCCGCGCGAGGAAGCCGACCTAGGCGTCTGCTTCGACCTGTACCTGATGGCCGAGAAGTTCGAGATACCAGGCCTCGTCGCCGACGTCCTGCAGGTCGTCCGCGAATGGTACAAGTACAGCGACAGCTACCCCGGTCTGCGTCGCGTGCAGTACATCTACGCCAATACCGAGGAGGGCAGCCCCATGCGCCACATGCTTGTCCACGCCGTCGCGCGCATGATGGTTATCGAGAAGGGGATCCCTGCGCACTGGGACAAGGCGCTGCGTAAGAACGGACAGCTTGCCGTTGACATCATCAAGGCGATCCAGGACTGGCGCCTTGAAGAGGAGGTTGTGCCTGATGCGCGCGAGGAGCCGGCTGAGGCTGAGGACCTCGTCGATGTGGAGCAGGAGACGCAGAAGTTGGATGAGGAGGCTGAGCAGGAGATCGATGATGATGTCAGGGCTGAGCGCGCGGAGGAGGCAGATGACTCTGAGGATACCGTCGTCGAGAGCCCGACTAATGAGAGCAAACGCCCGCAGCCTAAGTCGAAGCAGAGTGGTAAGGATGTTGGACAGGACTTGAAGAGCAAGGATAATGGTCTTGTTAAGGACTTTAAGAAGTTCAGCCTCAAGGAGATGCCGAATGAGATGACTAACGCCGACTATGGTACTCTTCGCGCGTAGGCTGGGCCGTCTTATCTTTCGCCACTTACCTTCACATTTGGATTCAATTTGCATGATTTCTGCTCTGTAGGGGGGGAATATATATCCGGCGTTTGGGATCTGGGGTTTTCGGGACATTTCTATCTTTCTCTTCTTTCTTGGTAACTTTCACTTCGAAAAAAGAGAGAATAATGTCTTAGTAGCCTTTAGGGATTAGGTTTTTTCTGTAGTTGAAAGTTTGCAATTGTAACATCATTACCACTATCATTATCGAATGCGTACCCACTGTACACATCATACCACTCTTGACAGAAGAAATTGATATTAAACTAAAGCTACGGTGAATTCTACACATAGAAAATGTAACGCAAACTGTTCATGCACTACCCCATAATAGTTTCGCCAGATGGTCTTCTAACAAATAACGCTCTCGGCGCATTCCCATTGGAACATGTAGTTACCGCATTCACACAAATACCGCCTCCGCCCCTGCAGCACGTGTTCACGATGCACAGCTGGTTGACCCCGCAGTCCTCGTTCACCTTGCATTGGGGACTGCTGCAGGAAGTCGATCCTGGCACGCAAAGACCGCCGCCACCAGCGACGGAACCGCATATACATCCTGAACCGCAGTAGACGTATTTGGAGCAAGACGAAGGCGCACAGCTGGGGTTCGTGCACAACCCGCGGGCGCAACCACCGCTTGCGCATACATTACCGCATGCGCCGCAGTTGTTAGGATCGGTTTGGAAGTCTGGTCCTGCTGTAGTGGTGGCCATTGCAACAACCGTCATAGTCGGAGTCGTCGTTTCCGTTGCAGCGATTTCCTGGGTCGCTGTGGTGGTCACAGTGACGACGGTTTCGGTGAAGGCAGTGGAAGTCGAGATGCTAGTTTCTGTGGCGGTGCTGCTGACGACGACAGTGACAGTGGGAGTTGCGAGGGAGAGACATTCGCAGGCTTTGGTGATTTGCGCGCATTCGTATTGCTGGAGACCTTCTGGGGCGGTTGGGCAGAGTGTTGGGGTTGGGAGGATGGGTTCGGGTGTGGATAATGGTTCGATGATGCTGGAAGGTACGATGGAAGAGGACTCTGGGGTACTGGAAGGTTCGATGGATGATGACACCGTGGCGCTGGAAGGTGCCGTGGAAGAAGCCTCGACAGAGCTGAGGGTGATTGTGGAGGATATTTCCATAGTGCTTGAAATCGCTGCGACGGATGACTCTACAATGCTCGAAAGAGTCGAGTAAGCCGGCTCCATTACGCTCGAGTACGCGTACGACGCCTGCGATGCAGTTGAGTAGGCCAGATGCGATGCTTGCTCTGTACTCAGCGATTGCGACGATAGGACCTCTACAATACTAGAGGGCTTCACGACCGGGTAGGTCGCTGTGCTCGAGCATTTCGTGGATGTCGATGAAGGAGTCGCAGTAGTCGAGGGCTTCTTGCTTTGAGTGCATGATGTGCTGCTGGAATTGAGCGTCTGCACGTAATCGCGTTTGACGGGTGCTTCGGCTGTCACCGTCACTATCATTGCTGTCGCTGGGCATAGCTGTACTTCGGTAGTCCTAGGGGTGTTAGAGTGTGTAGATGCGGCATCCGTGCGAAGTGACTTACGTGGTGATGGTTACTGAGACTGCATTGGCTGTCAAGGTCGTAGTACCCGTGACTGTAGTCTCGTCGGTGTTTGTGAAAGATTCTGTGAGTGTGGTCGTATCAAGGGTGTCTGTAGTTGAAATGACAGTTGATGTGCTTATTGCGCTCGAAGTGACGGTAACGATAGGAATGGCCAGGAGCGACGAACAGAATTCCGCCGCTGTCGGCACCGCTCGTAGCTCATCGACAAGAGGCAAAATGAGTTGACACTCCGAATCTTTGATGTCAGTGAGTCCGGGAATCTCTTCCTGGGCTGAGCTGGCAATGGCCAAAGAGAGAAGGAGGGAGGTAATGGAGTTGCGCATTTTGATCAAGATTCCGATTCTGGGCCGATTGTGGACGTCTGTACCTGCCACTGGTGAAATGAATGACTTGAGTAGAGATTCGGACAAGAGAATACGCCAACATATATACAAATCGCAAGAACATGCGCCCACGGAGCCATTTTCGTGGCGTTAGACATGGCTGAGCTGATACAGGGCCAGACGAAGTCGTTCGGACGTTCCGAAGGCGCTTTGCTTTCATCTATACCAGCTGAAAATCGACCACGGAAGCGAAATGGCTTTCGATCTAAATCCACGAAGGTGTAAGCTCCTTGCTGAAATGCCAAGTTCTGGATAGAAACTTGACTCGAATAGGTCTCTTCATAATGAAGAGGCGGTAATGCTAAATCAGATAACCCAAAACAATCTAGTACATCTACAAAAGCCACGCAGGGACTTCGTGGCGTATCGAATGGACAATGCGTCGCGATGGAATTGGTTGGTGTGAGGCTTGAGGTGTACCTGGCTAGTGCAGATCTGGGGAAAGCTTCGTCTAGGCCGCCATAGATCTCGTCCCCCTGTCTGTGCTTGACGACGGGCAACGCGATAGTTGACGCCGCATCTTACGATAATCGAATCGTGGACTCATCAATTACTCGTCACATGATGAAAGGGCATTTTCAAGGACAATGAATATGAAGACGACGATAGAGAAGTTTGTAGAACAGTTGGAGAAGGGGTATCTTTGATTGCGGGCGACGAAGGTTGAAAGTATTGGTAGTATGCCTGTATAGGCTATTGAGCAGTACGGCGCTCGTCGGGCATGTTCTTCCGTTCTTTCGCCGTGACCTTCTTGCGACGGCGTTCGATGACCTTTTCGCGCTGCTTCGATTTCATGTTCTGGAAGCGGTCGACTAATGCAATCTTCTTTTGCTCGGCTGGAATACAATGTTAGTACGTGCATGTTGGGACGGGGGAATTAAGTGGGCTTACACTTCTTCAAGAAGAAAGGCTGTTTGCCCTCCTTGACAAGCTCCTTCTCCTTCTTCTTGTGCTCCCGTGTCACCTCCTGTAGCTTCTCCTTGTTCTCGCGGGCCTTTTGTTGCGACTCCATAGAGAGTAGCTTCTTCTTCAGCTGCTCCTGCTCGACTGGATTCTTCGTCTTCTTTATAGTCTGACGTAGTTCAGAGATCTCAGATTTTCGGTAGTCGTTAAGGAAATCGTAACGCTTTTTGACCACGAATTCATCGGGCTGGGGTCCTGAGGCGTTGTCGAAGCGGGGGTCACGGAAGACTGGCTTCTTCACATCGACTACGTTCCGCTTACGTGACACCGCACGCTTGCTTGACTGGACAGCGGGTGCGTGTTTGCTCGAGCGCGCTTTTGGAGCTGCGTCGGAGTCGGAGTCTCCATCCTCGTCGGCTTCCTGAGTGTCTCGTTTGCTCTCGCTCTTGCCTTTGCTCTTCTTGTCCGTCTTCGCTTTCTTGCTGGGCTGTGCACCATTCGCAAGCTTTTCAGCCTTGATCTGCCGTAACCGCTCCCTCAATGCTTCCAGCTTATCCTCTTGTGATTTCGATGTGTCGTCGCCTCGTTTGCGCTTCCGGTCGGCGGGTTGCTGTTTTGAAATGGCGTCCTGGGCTTTGGCTAATGCTCCAAAAGAGACTTTGCTCATTTGCGCTTTTACTTGGTCATCGTCGGAGGCGTCTGACTTGGTGATGTTAGCGGCATGCGCTGGCAGAGTAGAAGTCTTGGAGGCTTACCATGTCCTCGTCTCCTGATTCCCCATCTTCCTCGCCATCTGAACTGATTACGTTACCGCCCTCATCTGCCTCGATTACAGACGCAGAAGAGGATCGGTCGGTGACCTCGTAGTAGCTCTCGGCGTCCGAACTGTCTTCGGCTGCGCGCAAAGTGCGATCCAACTTGCTCGCGAGCACCATGGTAAAGCCTGAATTTGAGGATGTCGCCGTGAAAGCGCTTGTTGAAGGTGCGTCGGTATGGGTTCCTGTCGCGTTCTTCTTCGCCGCGGTCTCCAACATTTTTGTGGACCCCACCTGCCGGGGGTTTGATTCGCCGACAGGGCCGACAGACAGGCAACTGCGCCCAAATTTCGAGTGCGCCTTCCACCGTTGGGCTTCATGCTGCGTGCTCTCCGTCTTCACCTCACCAGGCTTATCACCGCTCACCTCTCCCGTCCCGCCGAGCGTCTGTCGCTATCGCACGTGCTCCATGGCCGCAGTCGCATCAGCTCGGTACAGCATCCCCCACTGCGCTCCAGTCGCAACTTCCTCCACTAACACCGACAACTTCAAGACCAAGACAGGTCGAGACAGCACTCCCCACGGGCGCCCGCTCTCTGCCTCCGCAAGCGCCAGCATGAACGAGTCATGGAACCCGAATGCGATGCCCTTCCGCCCGGGCGGCTTTGACCGTCGCGAGCAGAACTTTGGCGCCTTCGAGAACCAGCTTCCACCACCACCACCCCCTCCTCAATTCCAGGGACCACCACCAGGACCATACGGGCCGCCGAATGGCTTCTTCAACCAGAACTTTGCGCCGCCTCCGCCGCCGCCCCAGCAGCCCCCGCACATGTTCAGCAACCAGCACCATGACTTCGCAATTCACCAGCAAGCCATGGCATACCACCACTGGATGGTGCAGAACGGCCACCCGCATCACCCACCGCCGCCGCCTCCTTTCCCGCTAGGTCCAGAGGCCTTTGCGGGGCGCCCGCCTCCACACATGCCGCCTCATGGCCAGCCGCCGTTTGGTGGGCCGCCATTTGGCCAGCAGCCATACGGACATCAGGCGCATCACGGTGGGCCCCCGCCTATGCCTCACCAGCAACACCAGATGTACCCGAACCGCCCGCCCTACCACATGATGCAACAGCAGGCAAACTTCCCGCACGGAGCAAGGAACGAGGACATACAGTATGCTTTCGATGCCTTGTTGAAGGGTCTAAAGTCAAAGAGCCGCACCGCTAATACTCAGAACAGGGCACCAACTCCTCCAGGCAAGAAGTCAAAGTCTGGGCTTACTGTCAACGGGCAAGCTAAGCAGAAAGAGTATGGTACCCTCCACCGCATCGCTTCATTTGAAGCCAAGTGCTCTAGGATTAACAAACTTCACAGTACTCCCAAAGCACCGAAGGCACCCAAAGCGGCCGGCGAAAAGAAGGGACGCTATGGTGACGAAAAGATTATGCTCCCTGCGCCGCAGCCTACGCAAGAGTATCTGGACCAGGCCGCTGCGGAGCCTACCACCAACGAGACACCGGGCCAAATGCTGGTTATCCTGGATCTCAACGGCACGGTGCTCTTCCGCCCCAATAAGAACGCCAAGACTATGATCGAGCGCCCATACCTGAAGCCTTTCCTGCGCTACCTTTTCGAGAACTTCAAGGTCATGGTGTGGTCTAGCGCGAGGCCAGACAACGTGAAGTCTCTAGTCAGCCAAGCATTGGACAACGATCTCCGGTCGAAGCTCGTCGCTCAATGGGCCCGCGACAGTTTTGGACTATCGCCGACAAACTATCAGCAGAACGTGCAGGTATACAAGAACCTGAAGCTAGTGTGGAGTCGAAGTCAGATCCAGTCTTTCCATCCGGATTATGAGGCCGGCAGTCGCTTCGGCCAGCACAACACGGTGCTGATTGACGACTCTTCGCTCAAGGCGAGTGCGCAGCCGCACAACCTCCTAGAGATTCCCGAGTTTTGCGCTACTCCAGAGCAAATGCAAGGGGACGTGCTCCGAGAGGTAGCAGGTTACCTGGAGGCATTAAGGAGGCAGGCGGATGTATCGCAATTCATCAAGAAGGTTCCGTTCACTGCCGGCGGAGGGTGGACGTTCGACTGGCCTGACGCGGATGCTGGCGGTGGCGAGATGACCAGCAAGGTGTCTGCGAGTAATGCTCCTACTACGAGTAAGAAGAAGAACAAGAAGAAGCAGGCCAATGCCGCAGCAGCTGCAGCAAGTAGAACTAACACTCCTTTGTCACAGACAATTGATACCCTCGCAGCCGTGTCGCTAGCCGCACCTGCGCAACAGCAACAGCAGCAGCAGCAGCAACAACAAGCGCAGATGCAACAACACCAGCAAATGCAGCCTCAGCAGCAGAATGCGTAAAAGCAATTTCATTTCGACGGACGAATATGGAAGGAAGTACACATGTACAACCTATTACACGAAAGCACGGTTTGCCGACTGGGTGCAGGTGATTGCATAGGTAGCTTGGATTTAGCGGATGTCTTCTCTATGTACCAAAAGTATGCGATATGACGGCCGATTCATAATGTACAGCTTCGAGCTGGAAACTTCTATACCAATACTACTGAATGTATTCTACATTGTCCGACTTCATTACATCTGTGGGCGTTGCTCGTTATCCACTCGTGCCCCGCCATGCCCCGCACCTGTGACTCCAAACCACATTGGAAGGTGTGACCCTCCCCACAACATCTCACTCACGCGTCTGGGTAGGACTGAGGGCCATGCTCACTCAGCTCGCTTTACATCTCCACGATGATACCAATAGATTGTGGCTAATTTGTCAACTCTCCATCGAACAACAACAAAGACCGGTCGCTTAGCTCAGTTGGTTAGAGCGTGGTGCTAATAACGCCAAGGTCGCGAGTTCGACCCTCGTAGTGACCATTCCTCCGGGTTCGCCCGTTTCTTTTTGCTCTTTTTGTTTTTGGTGAGAGTACTATGTCCAAAAGAGTATTCAAAGTCTAGTAGCAAGGGTAGTGGTGAAAAGATGGGACGGCGTTCCGGGCTTTTTGCTGATGTGTGGGGATGGAGGGAAGTCGCTACCCGGCGCGAGAGGAGATCTGAATGCGGACTTTGTACGGGTTGGTGGAAATACGCAGGGAGGCTACGTTACCTTGGGATACTCTATAGTTTTGGGTTTTGGACCTATGTATGCTGCACGCCTGTTTAGGGGTTTATTGTACGTTTGATATTACAAACAAGCCAGAAGTCTACATTGCCTTGGATAGGTGTAAAACTATGGTTCTCGCACTGATGTAGACTACACGCCT